CTTGACCAAGGACAGATAGCAAGTAAGTGGCAACACCAGGATATCCAGGTTTCTCTGATTGCCAAACTGGGAACTTCCCCTTGGCACACATAGGCTGTGCTAAATTGAAAACCAGCTGCAATCAGTCCTCCATGCTTGTCCTCATGCCCTTTTGCAATATGACTAAGAGATGGAGTCTATTTCTTGACCCCTTGAATCTGACTCAGCCACGTCACTTTGTCTAGCCAGTGGGACATTAGTAATCAGAACACAAGCAGAGTCTTTCAAAAGCTCATGTGCATTGAAGCTTGTCTTCTCTTGCTCAATGTGGAACTCCAAGATTACCATGTGAATGGACCCAAGCTAGCCTCATGGAGGTGAACCTCATGGAGGTGACTGGAGGCACCCCTCAAACAGCTGCCAACTGTCAGACATGTGGGTGAGGCCCTCCTAGACCAGCTGACTGCAACCACATGAGTGGGCTTGGGTAAGACCAGAAGAACTGCCCAGCTGAGCCCAGGCTGGATTACCAGTTGATAGAATCATGGACTAATAAATTGTTATCTTAGGCCACTGGGTTTAGGGTGGTTTGTTATACAGCAAAAACTAACTGATACACATAACCAGTGAACATACACTGTGTAGACAACACCTACACACATACACATGTGCACATAAATGTACATAAATGGCCTCCTATAGAAAATCTGTCAGCACCCACGAAGACACACCCCTTATAGGTCTCATGTAGACACTCCCAGCCATCACCCAACCCCACACATGCCTCTATTCAGACCACTATTCAGGCCCACATGTCAATATAAATACATTCTGGGAATGGGTAGGTCAACAATACCCAAGCGCTATGTCCCTATTGCTGCCCAGCACAGTGCAGGGTATGGTGAAGGACTCAGCAGACTTTAGTTGAACAAATGGATGAATAAAGTGAAGGGCACAAAATGAGCCGTAGGTTGGCACAGTGAGCAGGCAGTGCTGAAAGGTTCCCCCCGTGGGTAAATGGAAAGGCCTGGCGGTGGGGGTCACAGCCTCAGTTTTTATCCCTTTTAGAGACCCACTGGCAGGGACATCAGGGGGTGCTCACAAATGCTTACATTACAGATTGTACTTGTGCTTGAGATTCTCTTTTGAAAATTGGTCCTACTTTTTTTTTTTTTTAAGTGTGGGGGGGTTGTTAAAGAGCACTTGAAGGGTTCAGGAAGGAAGTTGGAACTAATACACTACCTTTATGTGTAACTATGGGGACACTGAGGATGTCAGAGAATTAAGGTTGGGTTGGTTATGAGGAAACCACAGGAATGAAAGGCAAGGCAGGCAGTAACTCCAGGAAAAACCAAGAGTTTCACAAGAAAGGAAATGTAACCATCATACGAGATTTGGCTTGGCAGGAAACAGTATTTGTATAGTTACAGTATAAATAACACTAAATACTCACTTAATGGAAAATTGTGATAAACGTAGATTAAAAGGATAGGAGGTTGAGAAAAGTTAACTCTTCCTTGATAATAATAATTATAAAAAGAAACATTTTTGACCACTTCCAGAGTAATTATTCTTGTGCACTTTACATGTTAAATCCTCATAACAATCCAATAACTTAAATATTCTTACTACTCTCGTTTTACAAGTGAGGAAACTGAGCACAAGGAGGTTAAGTCACTTGCCTGGGGTCATAGGGCCAGGAAGGGGAGGGGCTGGGATTCAAACCCAGGCAGTCAAGCTACAGAAGTGACACTGTGAAGACATCAGACTGGAAAGTCAGGCAATATTTGCCTAAAATTAATCCAGAAAAACACAGGAAAAGCATCTTACTTAGAAATACGGAATAAAGTACCAGAAGAAATAGTTATAAAGAGTTGAATGTGGCTGTTTTGGGGGTCAGGAGCGGGAAGGACACGGCAAGGAAATGCTTTTTATTAGTACTACTTAATTTATACAGATACATAGAAATATCCATGAGCTAGGGACAGGAATTGACAGAGAAGGAACATGAGGGAACTTTCCATGGTTATGGTGTTGTTCTATATCCTGACTGGGGTTTGGGAAACAGTATGCATTTGTCTAAACTCAGCAAATGGTACCTTTAAGATCTGTGCATTTCACAGGATGTAAATTTTACATACACACACAGAGGGGAAAAAAAAAAAACTTTAAACAAATACTGATCTCTAATGATATGCATGCCAAAGTGCCTTTAAGGGGAAGCATACTGATGTTTGCAAATTACTTTGAAAAGCTTCAAAAAAATAGGTTGTCTTGATAGATGGTTAGATGGATAGATGCCTGATAGAGCACATCTAACAAAATAGGAAGAATTGTGCATCCAGTAGGTAGGTATTTAAGTGTTTGCTATAGCATTCTTTCAACTTTTCTTTAAGTTTGAGATTTTTCTTAATAAAGTGTTGGGGAAAATATATGAATGCATTATCTGAAAAATAGTATTTTTTTAAAAACCTGAATGGGGTGTTCCGTCTTGGACCTGAGAACACCCACACGGCTCTAAGCCCATATGCAGGTCTATCTGGGGGGGGCAGCTGTCACCAGGCTCTTGCCTATGTCCCCCCCTACCCTGGGATCTAAAGTCAGGGCCCTATAGACTAATTCCTCCATCCCTCCCTGCTCCCCCTGGACACAGGGTGTCAGGCAGGATGGGTGTCTCCTCTCCCTGGTCCCCTTGAATGCCTCTGTAGCAGAACCAGAACCATTTCACCAGGGAAAAGAATAGGGCCCTCTAGCTACCTCCCATCCTCTGCCAAAAGGGTACACTGAGGCCTGGCAGGTGGGGACAGGTGCCTTTCCCAGGGGCCCATCACACCTTCATGACAGGCGTGAGCAGCCAGATTGCTGGGCTCCCAAGCCCACGTGTATATAATTAGCTGCTGGGAAATAGATCTGGAAGCAGATCTCATCTCTGCCTAATTAGGGGCTGGGCAGCTGGGGCCAGTCTGGCCTGGAGGCGCTGCTATGGAAGCCAGGCAGCCCCAGGGGAGGGGGCAGCAGCTGCTGGCCTTCGCTGCTCACTGCCCCTCACACTCTGACTGCAGGCAGAACAATAGAGAGGCTGTTTCCGCAGATCCCTGAGGCCAACAGAAGCCCTCACCCACTCCCTCCCCCAGATCCCCACAGGGGAGGCTGATGGGCTCCAGAATTCTAGCAGGAGGGAAACCCTCCTGGAACCAGGGACCAGGAAACACCTTCTCCACTTCCAAGAATGCCTCCCTGCTGTCTTCCCAACAGACCCTCCCAAAGCTCTTCTTGACTCCCCCCGGCCCAGCTCTGGGAACAGGTCTGGTCTTAGGGCAGGAGTCACTGCTCCACATTATATGACCATGTGTTTGCTGATGAGCTGCCCATTTTCTTCCACCCAACATAGCGGGACCTATGTCTGGCTTACTCACTACTGGGCACCCAGCAGATGCTCAATAAAGTGACAGCAGGAAAGGCTGCCAGGACCCAGGACAGGGAAGAGAGGAGAGTCAGGAAGGCAGAATGCCACTGACTGTGGGGTGTGACCCCAGATTGGAGTACAGACCCTCTCTGTGACAGCCCCCAAGCCACTACCCCTCCTGTTCACAGACAGACCCTGGAAAGGTCACTTGAAGATTCAGTGACAGGATGAGTGTGAAGGGTCTGCACCCACCACCCAACCTCCTCCAGGAACAAGGGGTCTCCCGGCCCATCCTCCACCAGTCCTGTGATCTAAAATGCAGCCAACACACCCCTTCGGTTTCTGGGGTGCTGGCAGCTCACAGGAAGGGACAACACTTACTCAGCACAGAATTCTGGCCCGGTTGCCTGTAGGAGCTAGTCCTTGACACCTCAAAGGACATCTCCTCTGCAGAGCCTGCCCAGATTATCCCTCCTGACCCCATCACTCCTTTAACTTGGGGACCAGGAGGCTCAACTCCTGCGTTGTCAGACCTGCTGAGTGCCTGTGGGCAGATTATAGCCCTCCCTGTGCCTCAGTCTCCCCATCTGTATCATGAGGGGCTGGACTCCATTCTCATGAGCTTGAACACCACTCTCCTCTATAACCCAGTTTCCCCTTGTTTCCCTGAACCACCCAGGCCCAGCCCAATCCCCTGGGGGTTGATTGTACACTGTCAGACAGACAGACAGACAGCTGGGCTGACCTGGATGTTTGTCAACAGCCCAACGGAAATCTCCTCTTTATGCTTAAAATAAAACTTACATCAAACCTGTCACCAGGGCCCCCATTAGAGCTTCCTGTTTCTGAGTGCTGCAGCCGACACAGCCTGAGGGAGGAAACACCACCCAGCCCTTCCCCACTCCCACCCCGGGCGTGGGCAGAGGCCACCCAGGCTTTCACTCTTTGCGTGCCTGGCCCTAGCCCCGGCTGCCCTACCAGCCAAGGTGGCATCTCCCAGCAGGGAACCTGCCTGGAGGGAGACAGGAAGGAGCTGAGACCTCAAAGCCCAGTACCAGCCATCCTTCCCCTTGCCCCAGCCCCCTGAGGCCCAGAGATGGAGACTGGCTTATCCCGGGTCACCCAGAGTTGGAGGCAAGGCTGCCTGTTTTGTGCTGACCACCCCAAATCCCTCTTCCTCTAAGATCTCCTGCTTCCAACCCCCAGTCTACAGCCTCTGTCACCTCCAGTTCAGGGTCTGTGCTCTTTGAGCTTCCTGCCCCCTTGGGAACTGGGCAGCGATGGGAAGGATCCATGCAGCCATCAGCTTTTCCCCTGCAGGTCCCTTCCTGATGCAGGGGAAAGACCTCAGTACCGCCTCTATCCAGATTCACTCTGTGGCCAGACCCAGTTTCCTCCTTTATGAAGGAGGCCTGTAGGCCAGCCGGGGGGGGGGGGGCGGTGATGGTGATGAGAATCCCCTCTCAGGTCTCAAGTCTCAGGCCGGGCCAAACACTGACCTCATGCCCCTCTCCCAGATCCTGGGATGAACAATTATGGAGTTCTGAAGGCCCCACCCCAAGACGTCTCCCTCCCCTTCCCCTTGTGAACACAGAAGAGTCTGATGACCCAGCCCTTGAAAAACAAACATTTGTGTTTATTAACCAAAGGGAGGGAAGTCAGAGCAGTACAGACTCCCACCAGTCCCTCCTGTAGTCTACCCACCTAGGCCAGGCTGCCAAGGCCCTGCCTCCACCCAGAGCAAGTTCCCAGGGAACCAGGACCCACTGGGAAAGGAAGAGGAAGTCAGCAAAGGTTAGAGGCCAAGGAAGAAGGAAAGAGAACCACTAGGTAAGCCTAGTAAGATCCTCTGGCCCCTCACTCTCAGCGGAGAAGGCTAAGTGCCCCAAATCCAAACCCACGAGGAGAACCAGGCAGGACTCATGTCAAAACCCCTACACGTGAGGGGTAGTGGGTGGCCCAAGGTCAAAAGGCAACTCTCTCCAGGGTCAGTTCTTGCCAGACGGCTGCTGGTCCAGCCTCTGAGCCTCTGCCTCCATACCAAGTTCACACAAGGCAGCAGCCTCCGGTCTGCCCAAGCCCGGGAATGGATGCGGAAGCGGTCAGGGGCCAGCTGCCTCTCTCAGATCTGTCCCGTGGCAAATGCCGAGCCCAGTGGAGGCCTAGCCCTCGGCTGCCGGGCCATCCCGCGCCTGGCGCAACCCATACAGCCACTTGATGACGCGGGCGTTGCGCTCCACCGCGGACACACCATAGGGCCCGCGCTCCCGGGCCCGCTCCTCCACGGGGGCAGAGCTGCGGCGCGAGCCGTCCCCCTCGGAGCTGCCGGGCCCGCCACTGGGCCCGGCCAGGGAGACGATGTCTGAGCTGGCCCGCGCCAGGTGGGCCACACCCAACCCCCGGGCCTCCTCCGGGTCCAGGCCGCAGAAGTTAAAAAATCGCTCCAGGTCAGCTGCTGCTCTGGAGAAGCGCTCACTCAAATCCGACTTGGAGCGCTGCAAACCTGGGGGCCGGGCTGGGCCGGAGGCGGTGGCAGTGCCTGGCGAGGGGCAGGGCCCGGCAGGTGAGGCGGGCAGGGGACGGACATCCACTCGGCGGACGGCAGCCGTGCTTGGTGGCGGGCGTGGAGGGGTGGCTGGGGGCGCCTGGTGGGCTCCTTCTGTCCGTCCAGGGGTACGGCTGGCCTCGGCAGGGGACGCGGGACTATCACACAAGTCTATGAGGCTGCTAAGGATGTCCAGGTCCAGCTGGGGCCGGCGGCCAGGGCCGGGCAGGACTCGGCGGCTAGGTGTGAGCACTGTGCGGCGAGTCCCAGGGCTGAAGAGTGGCTGTTTGGACAGCAGGGGCTGCACAGGTTCCTGGCGGGTGTTGGCCACATGCAGGCTCTTGACGTACTTGGCCTTGTCGGCCTCCAGGCGCTCCACAGCACTAGGTTTCCGGGCTCCACCATCTGCTGGCCTCCGTAGCAGGTAGCCGGGGACTTTGGTCCGCAGGCGGAAAGGTAGGGCAGAGGTGTCCCGGGCTCCTGGAGTCAGTGTGTCCACAGGCATGGCTGTTACATACCCCAAGGGCTTCGGTCTGAGGAGACCGGAGAAATGAGGAGACAGATCCAGGCAGAAAGTTGGCAGCTGGATGCTGGCAACGGCTACAGGGGAGGAAAGAAAGAGGCTGAGCACGCTCAGACAAAGGCTCAGCCAAGACTGAAAAGGGCTGAAGACGCCTTTCCTATTAAAAGGTAATAGCCACGCCCCTGGTTCAAAGGGAGCCAATCAGCAGACAGAAAGCCAACACTGAGGGGCCTGTGACTCCACCCACACCCCGCCTCCCCTCTCAGAGGACCAGGCCCACCTGAGGCCGAGAGAAAATAAAAAAGTGCCAAAGAAAGATGTGAGCAGCCTGGGCAGAAAAGACAGGACAAGGCACGCTTTAAAGGAAGCAAAGTGGGCTCCAGGCCATATGCTGGGCACCAGCCAGCTTAACCTCAATGGGTCCCCTTAACAGCTCTATTTTGCAGATAGGGAGCTCAACGATTACGCTAACCCACCAAGTTGGTGGCTCTGCCCCCTTGCTTCCAAGCAGGGAGGTGCTGGTGCACCTGGTGACCCAGAGAAAGGGCTCCAACCCCACACGCTACCTGGACTGCCCCCAGACAACCTGGTACCACCTCCCACCCTTACCCACCCAGGCAGGAAGCTGTCCCGTGCTATTCACCCGTCTAGACATGCCAGGCCCCAGGCATAGCAATAAAACTGGTGGAGGAGGAGTGTAGAAAATCTCCATCCCCCACTCCAGTGAAGTCCAGACACTCATCAGCTTCCAGTATGGGACTTCAGTGCCAGGCCCACAATGATCCAAGGATGCCTGTCAGCTAGAAATGTCAGCCCTGAGCTATGCTGTTCCAAGAGAAGCCAGAAAAGCCCACAATCACACAACCCTGCTTGAGAGCATCCAGCAGACCCTGGATCTGCCAGCAGCCAGAGGATGGGCATCCATAGACAAGGGGGCCCACACCCAGGTGCACAAGTGTCCACAGGATCACCTAAGCATCAGGGCCTGGTGCCCCAGGCATCAGGCCAGCCCTGATCCTTTTTCCAAGAAAGGGCTAGAGCCACAAAGTGTCCCCAGCCAACTCTCCCAGAGATGGGCTAGAAGAAAACCTACAGACCAAGTCCTGAAACTTCTCTTCTGTAAAATGAGAGGAGGACTTTATCTAGGTAATCCCCAAAAGGACTTGTCATCTACACCTGTGTTGTCTAATTTAATGGCCACTAGCCACATATGGCTACTCAACTTAGCTTTAAATTAAATGAAAACTTACACTCAGTCACACTAGCCACATTTCAAGTGCTCGACGGCCACTATACTGGTCACTAGGGCAGACAGTGCAGATCGGAGATGTCCATCCATAGCCAAAAGCTATACTGGACAGCCCCACGTGGTCACCCAGAATGACAGGAGGAGAGTCTGCATCGGGGTGGGAAGGCAGGGATCCCTACTGTGTGCTAGACATTTGACACCATCCTCTTCTGGAATCCTCCAACAAGCCTGTGAGAAGGGTCACTGTCATCTCATTTTATAGTTGGAGAAACTGGAACTAGAGAAGTGACCATCCTAGGTCCCAGAGCCAATAAATAAGACACAAATTCCTATGAGGCCTAATTCACTCATCTATTACGTTTATGTCATTTTACACTCTGTTCTTCTCATTCCCCTAAAATATCGGCTCCATGAAGGCAGGGGGTTTGTCGGTTTTGCTCACTGAATCTGTTTTGGGACATTGCTTTCGACACATAATAGGTATTCAATAAATTGTTATTGAATTAGAGTGTCCATGGGGACGAAATGTGAACGGGCAGAACTTGGATAAACCAGAGAGGGACACATCCAACCCACTGCAGGCATATGGGTCCAAGGTGGTAGGTATGGAATGTGCTAGGAAGCTGGAAATCCAGATGGGCATGAACACTCTAGAGTCTTAAATCTCAGCATATCCGCCAATAATAATTTTTAAAACATGCATGGATGGAGCAAACAAACATGTCTGCAAACAGATCTGCTCTCCCCACCTCAATCTAGCCCCCAGTTTGAGACCTCTGCAGGGGCAGCAATGGCAAGTTAAGAGAACCTTGGGCGCTGCCGGCCCAGAGCCAGAGCTGCTCCCAAGGTAGAAGAGATGGAGTAGATGGGAAAGTAAGGCTGCCCCACTCGGACGACCCCCAGGAGACCTCAGGCAAGAAGGGTCTGATTGAAAAGGCAGCCCTGCTGAGCCCTGTCGAGCTAACTCGACTCTGCCGCACCCCCGGGGCCTCTGCCTACCAAACCAGTCCAACCCGTTGGCGGCGGCGATTCCCTCCCGGGCACCATCCGGGGAAACAGAGGGAAGAAGGAGGTCAGATGGGCAGGGCCAGGGCAGAAACCCCGCGCCCTCGCACCGACCTGCTGGCCGCAGGGGCTCCCCCCGCGGCCCGGACACACGCAAGGAGCCAAACCCGGGTTGGGAGCCGCTGCCCCCCTCGCCCACCTGCCCGCTGTGCGCCCCGCTCCAGCAGCTGCGCCTCTTACACACTCGGGTTCCTTATCTGAAATGCGGTTAAAAATAGACCTGAGCCTCCAGGTCTCCTGGAGGATGGAGAGATAAAACAGGTCGAGGACTTTCGCAGCACCTGACCAAAAGGCTGCGCTCCAAGAACTGGGCTCTTGGTTTTTATCATGACTCTGACGACCCAACTCCCAGATCGCGCCCACCCCCACCCCGGCGGGGTCTCTAAGCACGCTCAGGACCGCGGGTCGGAGTCGGAGCCGCAGACAAAGGAGGCACGTGATAGAGGCTAATCCTAAACTGATCTGATAAGCCCCATTTCACAGGTGGGCAAACGGAGGTGTGGAGGCTCCTGCGAGTTAAAGCCGGGGTCCCAGTCCCCGGGTGGGACCCGTCCTCTCTGAGGCCTCCTCTCATCGCCAACGCCCCACCCACGTATTTCAAATGCTACCCACAAATGGCCCCCAGAGCGGCAACCGTGAGCCTTTCTCCTTGTCACCATACCCCCTTCCCACCTGCTTCCCTGGAGACAGCCTTAGGGGTTGGGGGAGCTCAGATGCTCGCTCTGGCTTCTGCCCTAACCCCCTTCGGGGCGATCTTGAAGACTCCCAGCGGCGGAGGAGGCCGCGAGCCCGCCGGCGCGCTGTGTGACTCTGGCCGCTCGCCGCCCCTCTCTGAGCCGGGGTCGACCTGGCTCTTAAACTAGGGGGCTGACGGCAGGATTCTTCCCGGCGGGAAGGCGGGCCCCTGCCCTGTCCCCGCCTTCCCGAGAAGGGAGGGCTGGCCCGGCAGCCCCCTACCCCGGCCCGGCGCCACCCGCCCGCACATACCTGGCTGCGCGCTCGCCGCGACAGAGCGCTCCTCCGGCCCGGCCCACGGGGAGCTCAGGTAACACGCGTTTGCGCAACTTCCGGCGGCCGGCCCCCGGCAGGTGAACCCGCCGGCCCAGGTATTAAGCGAAAGGGAAGAACGAAAGCCGGGCGGGGGCGGGAGCCTGAGCCTTGGCGCGCCGGCAGTGGGCTCCCCTCGGCGCGGGGACCCGGTCCCAGCCGCCCCGACCTACCCCAGGAAGCTGTCCCGCGAGCCGGGGCCGTCCACACCCGCAGTTCCGGCGGCCTGCAAGGGCACCCATCTTGGAGATGGCAAAACTGAGGCCCCCTCCCCCACAGCCACAGTGCCCGCGTTAATGTCTACTGTGCCGGGCACGAGAAAGTGCTGTTCCTGGTTTTAATTAACCCATTTTAATCTTCCCAACACCCCCTATGAGGTGAACTCTATTATTATCCGCATTTGACTAATGAAATCCTGAGGCTGAGACAGGCTGAACCAGTTGCCCAAAGTCACCCTGAGGAGTCCGACCTGGGCACTTTCCCTCTAGACCAAGCGTTAGTGCCAACCTTTCTACCTGTGTGTCCCTGAGCACGTTGCTGGACCCCTCTGGCCCTCCCTTCTGCCACTGAGGAGAGTCTCACCTTCCAGGCCAGGTCAATGTGAGTTCTTACCGTCTGAGAGTGCCTATAGAAAGCCTGTGCAGGCTGTGAACATTTAGTAACAACGGCAACAATAGTAATAAGAATAACTAGAATTTTTGAGTTCCGGGCACTGTACTTATGTAAGTGTCTGGACATCCCCGCCTCCCATAGGGGAGGAACTATTTAATCCCCATTTTACAGATGAGAAGACTGCAACACTGCAGGAAGGAATCCTTGGGAGGGACATGATTGTCTCCTCTGCCAACCCAAGCCCTATCATGTCACTTCAGGTGGCACACTTGATTGGGCGTTTCCATTGGGATCCTGAGGCCCAGAGAATGAAGTGCCCACTAGCGTCAGGCCTAAGCTCTGGGAAGGCAAAGAGGTCCCAGTTCCATGTCTGTGCCCAGTGGGGGCTGCACCCAGATTGGGATGGAGGGCTATGAGGGGACAGGAAGTGACTCAGAGAACAACTCTCCTGCCCCTGAGAGTGAGTCAGCTCTGAGGCCTCCTCCAGGCCCTGGAGCCTGATTTTAGGGGAATGAGGGAGGCCAGCCTAAAGACCACCATTCCCACAATGTTCCTGCTGGGTCCCTCTGCCTGGCCCTCTACTGAGGCAACAATGGGGGGAGGGCGTAAGATGGGAGGGAGGGCTCAGTTAGGCAATAATAGTAGTAAAAGCAGGAAACAATAACATTTCATAATACAACAGGGAAGAAATTTTCTAAGTGCTTTCTCTGTACCTGGCACTGTTCGAAGCTCTTTATATATGTTGACTCATTGAATCCTCACACTCACCCTGAGGTACTCCTATTACACTCATTTTACAGTTGAGAAAACTGAGGCACAGAGAGGTGGGGCCACTTGCCAGAGGTCACGTAGCTGGTAAATGGCAGAGCCAGGATTTGCACCCAGGAACCACTCACCAAAAGACTCTATAGCCTCCTTCTCTGGGCCCCAGAGGGAGAAGCCACCTTAGGAAGCATTCCCGGCTGTGGGCCGGGGTCTCAGATTCCTCAGTTGTAAAATGGGAGCAAGATGGCAATATTTTCCCAACAGAAATTAGATCTCCTATGGCTCCAGATCACCTTAGAATAAATCCCAAACTCTCCACTTGGTCCTCAGGCCTTCCAGGATCCAGTCCCTGCCCTCCACTCCCACTGAACTCCAGGCTTTTCTGCTCCAGCCACAAAGCCCTCCCTGCTGTTCGCAAACACACCAAGGTCTTTCCTGCCTCAGGGCCTTTGTACCATCTGTTCTCTGCTTAGAACCTCTTAGCTCACCTCCTTCAGGTCTCACCTCCTCAGAGAGGCCTCCCTGACTACCCTGAGGCTCCCGCCAACTCTCTCACCTGGTTGTTCCCTTCCACACATTCATCCCACGCTGTCATTTTAGATATTCACTTATCAATCCCTCATTTCCTATTTCTGTATTTTCATCCTCCAGGGAGCAAGCACACAGGTGTGTGCAGGGCACACCATTGACTAAGTGGCAGGACTGGAACCCAGGCCACCTCAAAGACTAAGGCCCTTCAGCACCAAGCCTCCTCCCAACCCCCAGTCCCACCGCAGGGGTTCTCCCTCCTCTCTCCCCACTCCCCTCCAACCTCAAGTCACCCCCATTCAAGCTGGACCCTGGCCACTTCTAGATGAGCCATTTTTTCTCCGGAGACATCACGTCCAAACCTTTGCACATGAGGGGTCTGCTCCTACAGTGCCCTTCCCCACTCCAGCCCCACGGCCACCTCTGAAGCATGGACTCTGGGACCAGCCTACTGGGGTTCAAATCCAGTTCCGCCCATGATTAGCTATGAGACCTTGGGTAAGATAGTCAACTTTCCCAGGCCTCGGTTTCCCCAACTGTAAAACAGGACTTGTAACAGTGCCTCTCTCCCAGCCTGTGCATGACAAATGCCACCAGAATGTGACTCTGCGGTGCCCAGCTCCTGGGTGAGGACTTCACCACCCAGAATGTTGACCCACTTCTCTCAGAGTTTACAAATCTAAGCACGCAGGGCCACTTCAACAGACATTTCCTCAAAGAAAGTGTACCAAGGGCCAATAGGCACACGGAAAGATGCTCAGCATCATGCATCATTAGGGACACATAAAGCCAAACCACGGTGAGATAACATGTCACATCCATCAAGATAACCAATATCACAACAAGCAAGCAAGGGAAAAAAAACCCAAAAACCACAAAAAAATATCAAGTTTTGGTGAGGATATGAAGAAACTGGAATCCTTGTGCCCTGTGGGTGGGAATATAAGATGGCGCGGCCACGGTGGAAACAGTATAGCACTTAGGAAAAATTTAAAAGGCATTACCATAGGACCCAGCAATCCTACTCCTGGGTATATACACAAAAGAACTGAAACCAAGGACTTGAACAGATATTGTACCCCAATGTTCATAATAGTACTATTCACAGTAGCCCAAAGGTGGAAGCAACCAAGTGTCCATAGACAGATGGACAGATGAACATAGGATGGAATATTATTTAGCCTTTATAAGCAAGGAGGTTCTGACACCTGCTACAACATGGGTGAACCTCGAAGACATTACACTAAATGAAATAAGTCAGATGCAGAAGGACAAATATTGAGAAAAAAAGGGCAAATATTATATGATTTCATTTACATGAGGTACCCAGAGCAGTCAAATCCACAGAGACAGAAAGTAGAAAGGTGCTTTCCAGGGACTGGGGGGAGGAGAAAATGGGGAGCTGGTGTTTAATGGGTATGGAGTTCCCATTTAGGAAGATGAAGAAATTCTGGAGGTGGATGGTGGTGAGGTTTGTGCACAGTGTAAATATACTTCATGCCACTGAACTGTACCTTACAAATGGATAAAATACTCAATTTTACGTTATATATTTTTTTCCAAAAAAAGAAAAAGAGAGCCCATGGTCTGGAGTCAGAACCCCCAGATTCACATTCCTGCTCTGGATGACCTGGTCCAAGTTACTAAACCTCTCTTGCATTCAGTTTCCCTTTGTAAGGTGGAAAAAATAGCAGCAGTAACTACCTGACATAGAATTGAGGGAATTAAATGAGTGCATGCTTATAAAGTACATGGCACATAGTAAGTGCTCAGGAGGTGTTAGTGATTGTTTATTCTTCGCTGAGGGGGCAAGAGGTGTGGTTTCCATGTTTAGAATTTTCATGACATTCTGCACCCCTACCCCACCCCTTCCTTCCACCTGCTTCTCTCTTTCTCTTCAGTAGAAGCCAGGCCCTGACTTGGGGGGAGACAGGGAGGCCCTCACCTGCCCCAGAGGAGGATCAGGAAGGCTCCAGGCAGCAGGGAGGGGGCCGGCCAATAGGGCAGCCCAGCTCGATTTCAGCCCAGCTGTCCGGGTCAGAGACACCCAGCTGGGCATCCTCCAGGGCCACGCGAGGCCCCATGCTATTTCTGGAGTCTCCCCAGACACTCATGCCCTGGCCTGCCGGCAGTCAGCCTTGCCCAGGGCACCCTTGCACACATCTCAGTGGGCTGAAGGAGGGCTGTGGGCACAGGCACCTAAAGCACTGATGTCCTATCGGCCAATGGACAGCCCGACTCCGCCAACCCAATTTTCTGTGCCTCGGTTTGTACCTGAAGTTGCAAAATGAGGACAAAGGGACTTGCAATGGAGACACAGAGAGACCACATGCATCGCCTCAGGGAAGGGCCCGGCTCACAAGGATGGGGAAGGTGGAGGTTGGGGCAGACTCACGGGCAAGTCCACTTCCTGTCCCGGACTGCCTCCTTCCCAGGCCTGAGCTCACCATCTTATCTTGGCCCGGAGATGTGAAGAAACTTGCCCAAAGTCACACGGCAAGTCAAGGACAGATCACAGACAAGGCAGTGATCTTATGACTAAATATATAATCTGTAATGATTTATATATATCTAATTTTTTCAACCAGGTGCTATATGCCTGTGACTCAAAATTCAAAAACTATAAAGAGAAGGAAGTAAAAATAAACTCCTTCCCACTCCTGTCCCCAGCCACCCAGTTCCCCTCCCTGCAGGCGCCACCATACCCAGACAATTGTGTGTCCTTCTAGGGAGATTTTAGGCAGATACAAGCAATAATGGGCATATATTCTATTTTTTTACAGGTATGGCAACACGCTGTGTGTACTGTTTTCACCTTGCTCTTTTTACCCAGTAATACATGTTGTTTTAATAATGTTAATATATTATTAATTCTAATATGTTATTAATATACTTATTAATATAGGTTGTTCAATAATACACATGGAGGCACATCAGTACATAAAGAGCCGCCAGCCCCTGCTGATGACCACTTAGTGTACGTCCAGACCTGCCCTATTACAAACCACCCTGTGACGTCTCTGCACCTACATCGTGTTGCCGACAAGTGGGACAGCTGGGCTGGGGACGTGCTTGTGATTGTGACAGAGACGCTGTACTGTGTTCCACAGAGGCTGTGTGAGTTGATCTCCACCAGCAGAACACACAGCAAATAGTGAAGAACTGTCAATCACCTGGGTGGCCCAGTTGGTTGAGCGACCAAGTCTTGGTTTCTGCTCAGGTCATGATCTCAGGGTCCTGGGATCACGCCCCCTTCCCCAGGGTTGGGCTCCCCTCTCCCTGTGCCCCTCCTCCCTTTCACACACTCTGTCTCTGTTTCTCTCTCTCTCTCTAAAATAAATCTTTTTAAAAAATAATAACTGTGAGCTTTAGTTATCTTGATTAGAGGTTTTGGCACCCCTCAATTTTGCCCTGGAGGCGAGGGCCTCACTTGCCTCACCCTAGCCCCTCCTCCTATCACATTCCGGTTGAGGAAGATAATCAACTCCCTAATAAGTGAAATACATAGGACATCAGATGGGTAAATGCCACCGAGAGAAACAAAATAGACAAGGGGGAGGGCAGGGCATATGAAGTCAATAAATATTTATTGAAAGAATAAATGAAAGACTTATTTTCTTTCTGAGTTCCCAGAGCATCCCCAGGAGGCAGGGCCTGGTCTAGGTCAGATGCTCCAGCCGGAGGGGTCGCACCCCATCCTCAACTCCAAAGTCTCTGATGACTAGTGGCTTCAGGTTGAGTGGCTGCCTCTACCCATTCCCCCAACCTGGGGCAGATTCCCAAGACTCTAAAAGCGGCTCCAGGGCCAGAGCACCTGCTGCCCACCTAGCATCTAGCCCATTAATGTCCGTCCTGCCAGATCCCCCCAGAACAGCCCTCTGAGAGAGACAGCCCTACTGTCAGGACCCCGTGGGCAGAAGGACCCCAAACGAGCCTGAGTCCAACCTCCGGCGTTCTGGAGAAGAGAAGACAGCTGCCCAGAAGGGGCACCCAGAGGACGGTGCGGGAGCGGGGCCGGAGGGAAATGATCCAGCCAGGGCTCCTGGGCTTAGCAGCCTTGCGGCTAAGAGGCTGAGAAGCTGACCACCAGTTGCGTGTCTGGGCCTCTCAAGACAAATCTAGATCTACCCAGACTGGAGACTTCGAGGTGGAGCTGAAAGACCTGAATTGGATTCTCCGGCAGACCTCGCTGGGCTAGGACACTTGCCTCTCTGCCCCTCAGCGTTTTCCTCAGTGAAATGGGGTACCACCGCCTCCCCGCACGTACGACGCGGGGAGGACGCCTACAGCAGGCGCTCGGTGAACGGAGCCCCCCAGACCCGGGCTCGCGCCCCAGACCACCCGCCCGCTCACCTGGAGCCCGCGCTAGGCGAGTCCTGGCTCCTCCCGTGCGGGCCTTGGAGAGGCTGACAGCTCGGACCCGGGCTGGGAATGGCCACGCCCAACGCGTTTCGGAACTGCTGCGGACCCGCAGGGGCCTCTTCGGAGCTGCTGTGCGCACCCGAGATGGACGGGGGCACCTGACTGTCCCAAGGCCCCCACCAGAGCGGAGGTCCCAGAGGCGCAGAGGAAGGGGAAGTGAGCTCGTCGCTCTGCGCCCCCCCCGTCGCCGGAATGGTTTGCCCCGGACATCCTGATTGGTTCCTCGCTTCCGTTCGAACGCCGCGCCGCCCGGGTTGCCAGGCGACCGCTTAGCTTCTGCCCAGCGAGTGAACGCCCCGCCCCGGCGCCCAGCTCAGTCCCCGCTCAGCCCCGCTGGCCTGTTCTTCCCGCGCCGCCGCAGCTCAGCAGCCTAGTTTTTTCCCTTGACCAGGACTTTCTCCTGGTCCCCAACAGGATGACGCACCATTTAGGGTCCCCAGCTAGTCTCCAGGTCCGACTTTGCAGCTCGCTGTATGAGCCCGGGCTAGCCCCTTTCCCTCTCTGTTCCCCTAACTGCACAGTGGGAAGTTGTAAAATGTGCATACCTAGCAGTCTGAACTTTACTAAGGAAATGACCAAAGATATGAACAAAGATTAATATAGCCCAGAGTTATTTAACATAGAAAGATAATGGAAATAACTCCAATGCTCAGCAAAAGAAGATTGGTTATATAAATCCATCCTGAGGAAGAGCTAAGTTTATTGAGCTTTTTACATGCCAGGTAGCTTCACATGACATAACTCTTGTCAGTGCTCATGGCATAACCCTTTGAGATAGGTACCTTTAATTATCCCCACTTCCTGATGAGGAATGTTATGCAGTCACTAAAAATGATGTAGTTAAAGATATTTAAAGTATGAGGAAAATGTAAAGAAAGCTTTTTAAAAGTACGTTTCAAAGCACTATGTACACACAACTATGTATTAAATGCATAATTGTAACATCAGTGTATTTGTGTATAACCATTTATAATAGCAGTTCATTTCTTTTCTGTGCTTTTGTGGATTTTCCAATTTCCAACACTTAAATATGTCAAGAAAAAAAAAACACCACAGTTTTAAAAAGGATCGGAATAAGTTAACTTTAAGTACCCTTTGAGATGAGGAAATTTCATAGTTGTGAGTCACTGTTTGGGTCTAGGGCATTGTTGAATTTGGAGCCAACCTCTGTTTTCTAATCCAGATGGTGACTTTCATTCGATTGGATTGTCAAGGATTGAGCACTTACCATATACATACCTTGGGCCGGTGCGGGAGAGGGACTAGTAACATATCAATAGCTAACAATGATTGCACATTCCGGCATGGGCACCAATCAAATCAGAGTAGATACCGTCATAAACAGGGAGTCTGACTATGTCCATGAAGACCAGCTAAATATCAGATGTGGCGCTAACCCTGCCCTCTGCTAGACCGGACTGCTCAAGGCTTTACATGTATTTTCTCACTTGACTTCATTACTATGTGGGGGGAGAGATTCTATTATTATTCTCATTTTATGAATGAAAACACTAAGGTTTGTCTGGATGCAGCAGGAGTCCTCTGAGCCGTTCTGTTATGTTGCTCTGTACACCACGTGTTGGCAGGAGCAGTGAGGAAAAGGCAAGAAGGATCCTGTGATGGCAAAAGACACAGAGAAAACTGAGCAGCGACAGATGCAGACTGTGCACTTCCTCAGGCTTACACAATTTAGGGAGATTTGTTTAAGAAAAGAACTACAAAATTACAAATATAAAATTAGGTAATAAAGTGTTATTTGGCTAGAAAGATAAAAGAAACCTCAACAAATGGCAAATTCCACAAATATTGCAAAATCCAGAAAAATAACATTATTTCTGTGAATTACATAATTGGCATACCTCCATAATAATTTTCACAGACAAGCTTGTTCTGGCTCGATGTATACATTTCATACCTCTCCTCTACTACAGACTGGCGGCATTGGGCACTGTAAAGCCATTCATATTTCTATATTGAGATATGACCTCTGACCCCCTGCACTTTCATGTGACAGTGTGAGTGGTGGCTGATGTCACAACCCACGTCAGTGTGCTAGGTAGGAGTATTCCTGGAAGTCATCACCAGTTGGTAATAACTTTTCACAAAAGTGACTGGAAACGACGTAAATAAAACCACTAAACCCACAGTAAATGTCAAGGTCCCCTTAGCCAAACCACTCAAATGCTCATACCCACTTCAACATCATCTGAGATGAGGCGACGTTGGAATGGAAGGAGATGGTGGTTTTAACAGAGCGAGGTTTAAATACAGAAGCATATGACCCTGAGAGCATACTGCTAGGGAGCCTGCCAGACCTTAGCTTCCCTGTCATTAAAATGGGAATGACAACAGTGGTGTCATGGTTGGATTCTTCTCTGAGATGTACAACTTTAATCAGGGGTTGGGAGATATTTGAGATGCTTGGATAAAGGTTCTGCTGACCCTTGTGTCTTCAAAACTTGCCTCTGCCCTACACGCCCTGGAGCTTAAAACAAACAGGATAATACAAAAATCCTGAGCCGTATTCCCTTAGGCAGACAGAGGGCAGAGAGAACGTCCCCTGGACTCCAAATAAGGCCACATGAAGAGACCTAATTTGGGCACACTCAGATTCTAGAACTCTGAGCATCTTCACATGCCACCAGCATATTGGCAATGCTCCCTGTCTTCGAGGATTTGCTAAGCCCCTGGTACCAGCTCATAGTGATTAAAATCATCCCAGTCCTTCCCACGTGGGAGTGCAGAGGGAGAGCCCACAAGAATAAGAAGGTGCCAAGCTGTCATTAGAGTGCCCAGATAAAAGGGAGCTAGACGGTCCTTATGGTGAGCAACAATAACATCTCGCCCCATCTGCAGGCCTGCAGCTGCCTCAGTGCCCCCTCCAGCACCCTGACCTTGGCAGTGTTTTCTCCACTCAACTCGAAACTGAGATGAAATCAGCCTCAGATACCAGCTCCCTATCTTCTGTGCCCACCCACCCCACCCCCCATGGCTGTATTTTGTTTTGACAGGTGGAACCTGGCCCTCTGGAGGCCTTGAGGTGGTTTGAGAGGCAGGCACTGGGGTGAACTAGAGACCAAGGGCAGTTCCTGGGTGTGAACTTTCTGGTCCCAGGGGAGGCAGCCTGTCAAGGCTTCAGGTGAGGCCTCATGAGAGGTTCTGAGACAGAACTGCCAAGCCAAGCCCCTCCTCAGTTCTTATCCAACGAAACCATAAGAGAGATGGTGGGAGAAAAAGGGTTATTGTTGTCTGAAGCCACCGAGCTTTGTGATGTTTGTTCCTCAGCAGTAGATAATACCTAGGGACTTTTGCAAATCCCAACGTCCAGGTTGCAACTACATCTGAACCTCTGGGAGAGGGGCGCAGGCATCAGGTTCCCATGTGCAGCCAAGGTTGAAACCCCGTGGCGGGGGGCTGCTATCAGCTTCTAGCTCGGAAAGCTCACGCTGGTGAGGCAGCCCTCGTCTGGGCTCCCTTGGGCCAAACTGGCCTGCGGCCGGCCCGTCTGCTGACCTCACAGTCTGCAGACTTCGTATCAGGTAAGTAGAAGTAGTGATGGCAGCCATCTGGCCTCCTGGACAATCCCACGGTGTGCCCCCTGAGGAAGGGCGCAGGAAGCAGAAACATGGGGCTCTCCAGTGGGGCTGTTACCACTGAGCTGCTGCTTGGGCTGGGCATTCCTCTGCCTCCCATTTTCTGAGCCTTGGCTTTCTTCCTGGACAATTAGGAGACAGCAGCCTGCAGTTTGGAGAGAAGACTGTGCAAGCTGCACTCACCCCTGCACACCTCCCCCCTTCACCTTCTCTTGGTTGGTTTCGGGATGTGTGTACTTATTCAACAAATATTTTCTGAGTCCCTGGTCTGTGTCAGTTACTAGGAAGAGAGTCACATTCTGGTGAGGGAGCCAGAACAATAGAGGAGTAACTGAATCAACAAGTGAGACATGTTATAAATAAAAATAAAGCAGAGTAAGACGATGGGCGTGATGGAGAAGGGGCTATTTTACGGTCAAGGAGTCTTCTCTGAGGTGAGGCCTGAAGCATAAAAAAGAGGCAGGGGAGAGGCAGGGACGCCTGGGTGGCTGTTGCCTAAGCAGCCGACTCTTGATTTCGGTTCAGGTCGTGATCTCAGGGTCATGAGATGTGGTGGGTTCCTGCTGGGCATGGAACCTGCTTGAGATTCTCTCTCTCCCTCTACCTCTGGCCACCCCCCCCTTAAAAAAAAGAGAAAAGGGGGGGGAAAAAAAGAGACAGCCATGTGGAAATCTAGAGAAAGGCTGAGAGGGAAAAAGTGTGCAAAGGTCCTGGGGCAAGAATGAGTTTGGTATATTTGAGCCAAAAGGCCAATGGCTGGAATGGATGGACAGGAAAAGACTGATGTGAAATTGCTCTAGGCCACAGGGAGGCGTTTAGAATTTAAAGATACAAAGCAGCAGTTCAAGACCAAGATCAGGAATTCTGGGGTCAGCCAGTCAGGGTTCCGATCCCACTTCTACCACCCAACTGCTGCCAGACTTGAAAGTTCCTTAAACGCTGGACTTTCGGCCGCTTTGTCTTTAATGGACATAACTGCACCTGCATTGGAAGGAGTTACCTTGAGTCCCCAAGATGATGCCCGCAAAACCCTTAGCTCTCCCCTTCCAAACCCTCAAGCCCCGGGAGCAGGGACAAATTTCAAATCTGAATAGCCCAGAATTTTTTAATCCTGAGGTCTTCAAATCCTTAGAATCCCCACAATCTAAAACTCCAGATGCCCACTGCACTCTGCTCTTAGACCATGTAAGTAAAATGGTCTTCAGGTCATCATCCAACGTGGCAAGAGGTGGTGGCTTTCACAGAGTGAGCTTAGATCAAACCAAGCGTTTCCCAAAGTAGGAGATGAGGCATGACAGTTGTAAATTATATGCATCAAATAAATCCTTTAGGGCAGCGCTGTCTACCAAGATTCTCCATGAGGGTGAAATGTTCTGTGTTTGCCCGGCCGGCACAGGGGCCGCTAGTTGCTTGAAATGTGACTCATACCCTGAATTTTAAATTTTATTGAGTTTGAATTAATTTAAACAGCTTCTTGCCACACAAGGCCAGTGGCTCTTGTAAGTACAGTTCCCGAGTGAAAGTTGTCTTCTCTTCGAGGCTTTCGTTCTTTCTAGCCTTAGTTTGCTGTTCCTCGGTTAGTTAG